GAGAAGAAGGCATGCTCGTGGAGAGTTTTATCATTTTTCCTTCAGGAAATCTTGCATAGTTATTTTGGTGTCATCTGTAACAGCCTGCAATAAATGGGGTGTGCTGACTTTGGGAATCTGTGCCTGCTGCTGGAAACAAAAGTTATGTTCAGTGTCACTGAGCTCAGCTTGCAGAAGAGCCTGATCTTGATACTCATTTCCACTCATACCCTGGAGGCTTCTCTGGCAATAGGGCAGAAATGAAAGAGGCTGAGGTCTGTTTTTCCACACCCAGGGCTCGAGAGGAACATTTCCATGACCAACCTGGAGAGAAGGGTCCTTTGAGGAAATATAAGTCAAGTGATAAGCTTTTGCTGAGCTATCAGCAGTGGGCCTGTCTGTGCTACAAACTAGGTGTTGGGGACATAACTAAGTCCTCCAGCCAAATGGTCATTGCCAAGCCTTCCTCAGGAAAAATGAAGTCCCTGCTTTTCTTATTCAGTCAAGGGCGCTCTACTCGTGCATGTCAGAACATCATTACAGGCTCCAGGCTTCCAGGCACAAATGCTTTAGGACATTCTGGGGCTTTTTATAGCAGATGATATAAAACCATGTAGTCTGTCCTACACTTCATTAGTCACTAGAGTTATATTTTCTTCTCAGCAGCGAGTCCGGCCTTTCTTGGAACAGATAACCATGTCTTAGCATCTCACACTCACGAGACTGTTATGTTAGCCCAAACCTTACAGAAACCTTTCCCTGATCATGGGCATAAATAAAAGGAAAACCAAAAGAATCCTCTCCTCTCCCTCTCTTTTTTTTTCTTTTTTTTTCTTTCTTTTTTTTTTCTTTCTTTTTTTTTTATGATAGCTCTTTTCACCATCAGGTTTCAAGAGAAAGAACCACATCTTTATCGTTCATATTGGTAAATATAGAGGAGAGAAAGTTCACAGACCTGCAGATGAGACTCAGCCATGCAGGCATCTTCGGAGGAGACTGATGTTCTCGGCCATGCAGCACAAAAAGCTCAGTTGTTCCTAACTGCTTTTTGATTCATTGTTTCAGAGCATCCCCATGCTCATTGCAAAGTTGTCCCAAGGGAAAGCAACATCATTAGCGAGCATCCTCTCTGTGCACTAACTTTGTTTAATGTCTGCATCCAGGCTGTTGGTAATGACACAATAGCACTGACTTTGAGAGATCATTTTAAAAGGCATCCTTTCTTTCTTGTTTTCACTCTGCCCACAATTAAGATATCTGCTTTTACATTTACAAGATTATTTTTCTCCTGGATAAGATTTGCAGAACAGGCTCAACATTGATATAGTGAACCAAGACTAAGCATTTTTCCCTTTTTTATCAAACCCAGGTAGGTAATCTGGTTATCTATGTGACTGCTTTAAATCAGAGCTTGTGGTTGCCCTTAAAAATGTACCTGAATCACAGAGTTTCCACAGTATCATCTCAAGGATCTTATTCAGATTTTTCTTTTCTCATAATTGATTCCTTCTGTATGAATTGCATGCCATGTACCTGTGAACGGAGATTAAACAGTACACTAGCACTCTCTAAAATGATCATGCATTGAACTAAACAGAGAAGTAATACTGCCTTTAAAATAAAAAAGTGTGTTTTTATTTAAATAGAAATCAGATATTTCCAGAGCTTTATTCAATTTTAAACAGTGAAGCAAATGATTCAGTGTCACTGGGCTAAAAAGAAACTACACACAAGTCAGCTCCAGATGTCTTCTTTCCTGAAAGCTCCTTTTCTCATCTTCTTTCTTTTTTTTTCTTTTTGAATGATTGATTCTTTCTCCTTGGCAACCAGCAACCCAATAAAGGAAGGCTTTCCTAAACATTTTGGTAAAATGTTTCTTTTTTCTTCTTCTTAAGGGGGCACATATCTTCCCATGGCTTTCACACCATGCAACAGGCATTCTTCTTTCCTCCTCCTACCACATAAAAGCACTGCTGAGCAATCTCATTCAGTTCAGCCCTTTACCACCATTATTATGATTTTTTTCATGTAACAGTTGAGGCTTTTAGAAAGAAATGATTGCTTCTGGGGAGCATCTCGCACTCTCCTTGGGAACATTTGACTAATGGGCAGAGGAGGCAGCTCTTCCTGCTCCATTATCGTGTCTCTTGGGTTGCTGCTCACCTCCCAGATACATGGATGCTAAATGCTCTAGCTGCCATGTGATAGCAGATCCCTGGTGGAAATAACTGTGGAAAGGGATGAAAGCCAGGGGATGAAAATCTGAATCAATTAAAAAAAAATAAAAAAATCTCCTTTTGTTGCTTAGGTGTACTGCTAGTACTAAGCCTTCTGTTTTTCCCTCAGAATCTTGCACAAGTGTACAGCTTAATGTTGTAATGTTTGTTTGTTTTTTTTATTTTTAATGACCTTTCCCTGTAAGACTCCAACAATTTTTTATTTAAATTTAGATCCTCTACACTCTTCTTTCCCACTGGAAGTACACACCTCTACAAAGTGCATCGAAGCTTCTTACTGGGAGGTTGCTAAAGATATTTCTGTGCCAAGGACCTGGAATTGCAGCTTGCTTTCTGGTCTGGTCAAACATCATAAACGCACCATAGGAAAAGTGAATTGTTTAGGAGTCATCAGTGCATGTGGAGCGTGCACATATTGCACAAAGGATGTTCTGACAGTTTTGTGTACACTGAGATTTATTTGTGGAACACTGACAGCTGATGGTGTACTTCAACTGTAATGCTGGAAGTTATTTCTAGAAAGAAAAAGAAAATAAAGGCAAAGAAGAGAAAGAAAAAGGGGAATTTTGCCCCACTGTGAAGGGCAGTGATGGGGTCCCATAGGAACATCCTCCTCTAGGACTCTCCAATGCTGCAGGTGATGGCAGCAAAAATGACCAGTATGATGATTTCTTGCTGTGCTTCCCATTAGCGTGATACACTTTTCATCAAGACCCACTTAAACTCCTGTGGGTTATTTATGGGTGTGTTTCTGTCAGATCTGGGAGAAGACTGCTCATCATGTGCAAGTATTGCACATCCATTGCTTGTTAATGTTCTGTGAACATATAAAACTGGATAATATTTACCGAGAATCTAAATAGCCATTGGCTCTTTTGTTGAACACCACGTTTGTTTTTCTCCTTTATACACTGAAATCTGCAAAACAAGAGAAAAAGAAGGAGTGGGAGGAACAGCAATTCTCACACCAGTTCTTCCACAAGAATCCACCATAATAACACTGTGGGGGTTTACGGAGGCAGGGCTGCGAGAGCAATAATATGTGAACAGCACAAGTGCAATAAAGGAAAAACATTGCCACAGAGAGGCTGGTAATTATTGTCCCATGGCTTCCAGAGATGTTATATAGCTGCAAGCAGCATGTCCTGAGTTACAGGCAAAGCACAAAGGTACATGAGAGTTAGCCAGAGGCTGGACACAACCTGACTAGAAGCCATAAATTCTGGTATGAAATCAAGTTCCTTGTTGAGAGTAGTGTTTAGCACAGGAATGTCAGGGTGCAGCTGGCAAGGGAGATTTCCCAAGGTCAGCAGAGGAGGAGAGGATGCCACAGCTCTCCTAATTTAGTCTCAGCTTCAGCTCTGGCTGTTTCAGAGGAAAGTCACAACACAGGGAAGAATGCTTGAATAAATACCTCCTAACACCCTGCTTGGTGATCAGCTTAGAACTGAGATTTGATTACACTTGCTGAGATTTGACCTTACATAACCACCTGTTTTCTGAGAGGTCCTAAAATAATCCAGTCTCCTTTTAAATCCAGCTCTGGTGAGTGACTTCTTTAGGACACCTTCACCTGCAGAACACTGACTTCTGCCACGGTACCTCGCGAGGGATGGAGAGCAAAAGCTGATCTCCTGCATGCTAGGCTCTGGAGTGCAGGGGATGCAAAGAAGACACCCCTGCTCCCCGATGACAGGGATTGTCTTCCCTTCACAGGCCCTGTCCTCTCACTCACCCCCTCCCACCAACTGAGTTCTCTCGCTCCTTCACTGAGCTGCTCTCCCATCCTCAGCCTTTCTCAGGCTAGCCTCTGGAGGAAACTGGCTCTGTTTTGCCCCTACACTCACACTCCCAACCAAAATCCTTTTCCTTCCTCAGACTAGACTCTGAATGAAGCTGGCTCTGTTTTGCCCCTACCCTCTCATCCCCAACAAAATCCTTTTCCTTCCTTTATCTTCCTGTTTCCCTTGCTCTCTCAGGGGATTGCGAAGCGACATGTGAAGTCTTTGCACACCTTCAGGCTTGTGACAGGGGTTATGGGATTAGCACTTTAACAAGCCTGAAAGCTTCTTAGACAAGCATTAAATCTCCAATCTCTCCATCTTTCAAAGAAATCACTTCTGGAGGAGCTGGAGAGATGAAGCACACAGTCATGTTTTCAGGGGTCAGCTCTTCACCCAGCTGAGAGCCCCCAAGCCCAGTGGCTAGGTGGTTTGAAGGGATTCCCATGGGATTTGGGAAACCCAGTTAAACCTTTGCCAGGCGCTTTGCTTTGGCACCTCAAAGCACCTTCTCCTTGCTCTCCATGCTAAATACTGGCTCCCTTGCCTGGCATTTCATCTAGCCTCCATGCCTTTCTTCCCTTCCCACCCCAAGGCCTGCACACCCCTTTGCAGAACTTTAAAAGGGGTGAGTAGCACCAAGTAAGAAGAAAAGAGGCACCACCCCTCCTAGGCACAACAGGCTCAAACTTGCTGACTTTTAAAGCCAATCCTGGGGCAATTTGTGCCTGTATTTTATTCAGAGGGGATGAATTCATGCTTCATTGGCCATATGACAGTGTTTATACCACTTAACTGAGAGCCAGAGAAGGCAGTGCTGGGACTACCAGAGTTGGGTGGCACCTTGTGGTGCAGTGAATGCTCCCCCAGATGGCAGGGAAAGGTCTCATGTCTGAGCTCCCTGACCTGCCACCTTGCCCATTCTTGTGACTGCCTCAGGAGCAGATTACCTCCTCCCATCTCTGTAGGGAAGAGGATCTCGGGGACACCATCCAGGGGACACCCATGGCCAAAACTGACACTTATCTTGCAGCACCTGCTGACGTGAATTTGCTGAACCGTGAGGTTGTCTTCCCAGCGTGTCACCTGTAGCTTTCCTGGAGACTGTAAAAAGCTTGAGGAGGAGGCAAAACTCATGACAGTGACAAGATTCAGCAACATTATTCATTAGAGAGAAATCAAAGTTAGTAACACTATGTACCGAGTTCAGTGAAAATACAAATGAGTAGTTCCAAAACAAATCACTTTACAAGAGCAGCATTAAAAAGTAATACTCTGTTGAGCCTCCTAAAATTATAAAACTGGATCCCTACCTGGACCGAAATCTCTTTTTATTTTTCCCCTCAGAGCTTCCAGCCTGGAAAATTTCAGCTCCAAATTAGACAGTTTTGGAGATTACAAGTAGGTGAAAACAAGAAATTCTAACAGGTGAAATTTTTCTGGATTAGTCACTTCTAAAGGTCATAAAGTAGTTTAGTTCCTCAAACACAGCAACCTGTTCCACAGAAGATGGTGATGACATTTAGCAGCACAAAGCTGCAATGTACCACCACTGCAAAAAATTCAAATCCAGAAGTACTGGACTGGCAGCAATCCAAATTCAAATAGGAAAAAAATGCCTAATTTTTTTAATCTTACAGTTTTAAAAAAAGTCGAAGTTTGTTATTTCCAATAGGGTGCGACAGACATATATGACTGTTGGGAGTATAGGCTCTGTAGTTGAAGGATAAGCATTTATAATTTTGCATAAAATTTTTGAAATAAACTTAGACACTCGCAGCTGATCACAGCTATTAATGTGGTCTACTAATTGTACAATCAACTGTTATCACTGGGGTAAAATTAAATAAGAATTAATCATAGTATTTTAAGTAAAAAATATTATTTTCCAACTAAGAACATATTTGAAATTTTACCATATGTTTTGCAGTAAAGCAGGTACACTTTAGCTGTTGTCCCTGCCTCCGTCTGTCACAGACCAAAGAGCTGGCTGGGGTTGGACAACGCCTGCCAAGAGATGATCCTCATGGCATGGCATCAGTTTGTCAAAGATGAAATACTCGGTGGTAGAGATTTGCTTTCAGCGATGTTCTGCTCTATTGTGGTTCAAACCTTTCCTTTCTTCCAGCAGAGCAGTGACGTGGTTCCCCAGCAGGATGCTGGATATTCTGACCCAAAGGATCATGCCTGGCTTCTGAGTTCCCATCTGCTTGGCATGGTGCGATTCCAACGTCTGCAGCTCCTTCTCACATTGCTTACCAATAGGAAGAAGAGGCACACAGCAGTTACATGATGTCCCCACAATCACATACTGACTAACTTCTAATTTAGGAGTAAAATCTGTTTCCCTTGCATGCTAGGCAGATGAACCCATACATATGGGTACATCATATGTATATGGTGTACATACATATGGTGGCACACAATTACACATCCCTATACCTTTATGCATATTTGTGGATAAATTGATCTTAATTTATGCTCACATGCATTTAGAAATAGTGTGTAAATAGCTACACAAAGGAACATGCAGTCTGGTGTTTCACTAAAAAGAAACACACAAAAGAGAACAAGCTAATCTCGACTATGCCTCAGAGAGAATGATTGCAATAACACTATTTGAAATTGCACTGTACACAGTCACTAAGACCAAGGAAATTTCAAACCAAGCCATGAGTGAACAGTAACCTCAACCCACACCTCCTTCCAGCTAAACTGTGTTCACTTTCTAAGCTGAAATCAGAGAATTAGTCCAGGCAGCAAAGAAACCAAGACAAGAAGCTGATGTACAAGACACAGAGGCTTCCTCAAAGATTTCCATATTTAACATATCCAACTCTTCACAGTTTTCCCAGGCCAAGACTGCTTATATGAACAATATGAGCTGCCATAACGTGGCACTGTAGTTGAAAGAATTTGTTCTGTCCTTTCCTCATTCCCATCTCACTCAGCCACTGGTGTGGGCATAAAGGTTTAGCCACATTTGTCTGTTATGAACAAGCATGGGTTTTGTCCATTATGAACAACTATCTGGGTTGAAAACTCACCAATATATACTTACACATTTGCTTACATGTTTTTTTTCCCCCTGGTACCATTTGAATTCATCTCAGTACTGTATTCAAGTCAGGTTCCTTGTGCTGGCTGAAGGGAAGGGCTAGTGTAGCAGTGAAAAAGCGTGGCAGAGAATAAAATAATTTTTCTTGATGTGAAACTAATTAATGGAAGCTTGAAATGTTTCTCAGGCTTTAGCCCCTGATAAATGGGAATCCATTGTCAGACAGACATATGTTCTGTTTTTCCCTTGAAATTTATGAGGTAAGAATTGTTGTGTCACCCATAACCTAAATGAATGCAATATCTGGCTGGAAAAATCAGTCTCCCTCTTCTGAGATCTGTTCATCCCTGAAGAAGAGCCCCTTTCCTCAGTTGTTTACAGCCTTTAAAAATTTGTGTCCAATAAACACTTTTAATGGATATGTGATCCTGGGCAGTGAATGTGAGCCCATTGGCAATAGATATGCTTTGCTTATTTTGCTGCTGCAAATGCATTAAGAGCAGTCTATCAGTCATTGCAGGCCCGGATTTGTTGTTTGCAAACCGATGATCTAATTTATTGTGCACTGAGGACTATGTACACGAAGGATGTATGTGACTGATGAACTAAGTGGGCACTCCATGAGGGGCAAAGAAAGAGGAAATCTGATCTTTCAGAAAGTAAGCGATGTAAAATCTTCTCGATCATTTAAACAACCCTGGGAAACGAGAGCTTTTTCTTCCTGAGGTAGCTGATCTTGGAACCTGCTCGTATGACAACGACTGGGAGTTGGGAACAATAAGCTGATTAAGTGCAGCAGGTAGCAGGAAAAATGGGGTTCGTAACAACCTCAATTTGCAACACTCCTTATCTTCCCACGTCCGCGGCAATACACAACCCCATTCTCCGCATATTTTAATCGCTATAAATCAGCGCCAGTTTTTGAAACCGGCCTTAATCACACCAGGAAAATAAACAAAATAAAAGCCCGGGGAGAAAAAAACCAAATCTATCACCCCCTCTCTGGCAGGCACAGCAGCCCTCACCGAGAGCCCGCAGCCCGGCGAGCACTCCGCGGCCGGGCTGGGCTGGGCAGACAAAGCCCCGAGCACCTCTGCGCAGCGGGAGCGCGGCAGACAAAGCGGGGCAGGCGGCGGAGCGCCGCAGCATGCGGGGCCGGGCAGGGCTTCCTCTGCCGGTGGGCTGCTGCTGCTACCGCCGCGCTTTG